GATCAAGCACCGACCGATACCTCCTCCAACCCTGCAGTCCCTCCTAGCCCTTCCGGGTAACTCCCAGTTACCTCCTGGGCATGACGTGCTGTGGTATGGAATACCTCTTTGGTCAGTTTGGGTCAGGTGTCCTGTCTCTGCTTCCTCCCGGCTTCCCCTCATCCCTGGCAGAGCATGAGGCTCACAAAGTCCTTGGCCAAACCAAAACATCATTTTTATCATTATCCACCCCTTATTCCATACCATTCACGTCATGCTCAGATCCCACATATACCATCAGTCTGATCTAAGTGCACTCTCATTGTAGTGCATGGGCCAGTCCCTATAAAGCTGCTGAGTCCATCCAGTCCATGATGCCAGGCTCCATCTCTTGTAACAGTATTTAAGAGCAGAAGAGACTGTGTGCAGTGTTCACACTTGTGAATAACCTGGGCAGTAGTGTCCATTGCTAAGTCCACCCCTCGATCATGAGTCCATCTCGATGTTGCATCTCTGCTCTGATGGCCTTAAGGGTCATGGACCCACTAGGCTCAAAATAACTCACTCTCCCCTTTAGCAGTTTCTGCAACTTGTAGCTGGGGACTCCATACAGCTGCCTTCCATCTCCGATGCTTCCAAAGCACTGGAGTGGCCCAGTGGACTAGATACTTGCCCATACTGTCCCACATGCCCTGCCACTCATGGCTGTCCAACCTTGGGGAAAACCTCTTGGTCCTCCCATATTGTTGTCTAACCCCAGACAAGACCCAAACCCCACTCTGCTTAACTTTTGAGATCAGACAAAATGGCGGTGGGTAAAACACACTCTGTGTGCGTGCCAAGATGCTGATCCCCATCACAATCAGCAGGCAGGTCCCAAGGGTACACAAAGGCCATCCAAAACCTTCAGATCTCTCAAACGATGCTGCTGTACTTGTCACTGGGGCTGGTGTAGCTGCTGTGCTTGCCGGCTCTCCCACCACCAGCTTCTCTTCTCCTGAGTCCAAATCTTCCTCCTCTGCCTTGCTGGGAAATGCTGCGGGGTCTCCTGCGTCCTCCTGGGGCTCGGCGGGCGGCTTCCGGGGAATGCTCTCGGTTGTCGCGGGGCTGGGCTCTTCTGCGGGGCTCGGCTCCTCTGCCGCCTTCTCCCGCTGCTCGGCAGCCGCCTCCTTCTGCTCCTCACCCACCCTGACCTCCTCCACAGGCAGCCGTCTCCTCGCGGCCTCCGGCCCCACTCCCGCTTGGTCCCCGGGGCCGCTCTCCCGGGCCACTTCAGCAGCCGCCGGCTCCCGAGGCCTCTCCCCCTCGGCTTCCCAGAGCCTCATGCAGACGGAGGCGAGGGCGAGGGCCAGGATGGTGAGGAGCAGCCGGACAGCCAGGGACCAGTCCACGGCCACGTCCATCCCGCCCTGTTGCTGGAGCCCGCCCGTATTACAAGCCATTGCCATAAAGTACATTGAGACAGGAACCTTAGCCCAAGCCCCACACTTGATAAACACTAACACAGCAAATACCGGCTCTAAGAAAGTTACAACATTCTGAAGCTGTGAGATCAAGAGGAACAACTCTGAGAGCCAATAAATCAGCATTGTGACGGTCAGATCTGTTGTTATCTCAACCCCTTGCGCCCCACGTTGGGCGCCAAAAAGAACTGTCGTGGTTTAACCCAACCAAACAGCTTGTTAACTCACTCCCCCCCCTTCTTGCGCTCCCCTTACTCCTGGAGGGAAGGAGAGGAGAATCAAAAAGAATGCAACTCCCACGGGTTGAGATAAGAACAGTTTAGTAACTAAGGTATAACACAAATCACTACTGCTGCCACCAATGATAGTAATGATAAAGGAAATAACAAGGGAAGAGAATACAACACCCCATCACCAGGCGACCGATAACTTTCCCCCCCAGCCCGATCAAGCACCGACCGATACCTCCTCCAACCCTGCAGTCCCTCCTAGCCCTTCCGGGTAACTCCCAGTTACCTCCTGGGCATGACGTGCTGTGGTATGGAATACCTCTTTGGTCAGTTTGGGTCAGGTGTCCTGTCTCTGCTTCCTCCCGGCTTCCCCTCCTCACTGGCAGAGCATGAGGCTCACAAAGTCCTTGGCCAAACCAAAGCATCATTTTTATCAACTTTGTTCCCAGCCTGAAAGTCAAAACACAGCACTGCACCAGCTACCAAGAAGGAGAAAAATGACTGCCACTGCTAAACCCAGGACATGCGGTCAGAGCCTTTGCCAGAGAAAACCAAGGCAAAGAAGTCATTCAGAGCCTCAGCCTTCTCCAAATCCCGTGTAGCTAGTTCACCCGAGAGCTTCCTGAGGGGGCCTACGTTGTCCCTAGTCTGTTTTTTTTATTTGCTATGTACCTGTAGAATCCCTTCCTGTTATCCTTAATATCCCTAGCGAAGTTTAATTCTAACTGGGACTTAGCTTTCCTAATCTGGTCCCTAGCTTCCCGGACAACATCCCTGTACTCTTCCCAGGCCACCTCTCCTTGCTTCCACTTTCTATAAGACTCTTATAGAAAATATATTCGAAGTGTTTCCTCACCAGTGCCAAGTACAGGGGGATTATTGCTTCCCTAATCCTGCTGGCCACGCTGTTTCTGATACAAGCCAGGATGGTGTTGGGTTTCTTGGCCACCTGGGCATACTGCTGTCTCAATATGCTCAATACGAATCTCACATTATTTATTATTGTGCTCTAAGTTTTGTTATGTCAGTGGTGTGGTTTAAGCCCAGCCAGTAACTCAGAAACATGCAGCTGCTCAGTTACTATCCCCCTTCTTCCTCCCCCTGCTCCCAGAGGGATGGGGAGGAGAATCACAGTATCACACAGCATCACAGTATGTTAGAGATTGGAAGGGACCTCAAAAGATCATCTAGTCCAATCCCCCTGCTGGAGCAGGAACACCTAGATAAGGTTACACAGGAACGTGTCCAGGCGGGTTTTGAATGTCTCCAAAGAAGGAGATTCCACAACCTCCCTGGGCAGCCTGTTCCAGTGTTCTGTCACCCTCACTGAGAAGAAGTTTCTTCTCAAGTTTAAGTGGAACCTCTTGTGTTCCAGTTTGCACCCATTTCCCCTTGTCCTATCATTGTTTGCCACTGAGAAGAGCCTGGCTCCATCCTCGTGACACTCCCCCTTTATATATTTATATACACTAATAAGGTCACCCCTCAGTCTCCTCTTCTCCAAACTATAGAGACCCAGCTCCCTCAGTCTTTCCTCATAAGGGAGATGCTCCACTCCCTTAATCATCTTAGTTGCCCTGTGCTGGACTCTCTCCAGCAGGTCCCTGTCCTTTTTAAACTGAGGGGCCCAGAACTGGACACAATATTCCAGATGAGGTCTCACCATTGCTGAGTAGAGGGGAAGGAGAACCTCTCTTGACCTACTAACCACCCCCCTTCTAATACACCCCAGGATGCCATTGGGCTTCTTGGCCACAAGGGCACAGTGTTGGCTCATGGTCATCCTGTCGTCCACTAGGACCCCCAGGTCCCTCTCCCCTACACTGCTCTCTAACAGGTCGTTCCCCAACCTATACTGGAACCTGGGGTTGTTCCTGCCCAGATGCAGGACTCTACACTTTCCCTTGTTATATTTCATCAAGTTATTCCCTGCCCAACTCTCCAGCCTGTCCAGGTCTCGCTGGATGGCAGCACAGCCTTCTGGCGTGTCGGCCACTCCTCCCAGCTTAGTGTCATCAGCAAACTTGCTGATAGTACACTCAATTCCCTCATCTAAATCATTGATGAATATATTAAATAATACTGGTCCCAGTACCGACCCTTGAGGCACTCCACTAGATACAGGCCTCCAACTAGACTCCGCCCCATAGACTACAACTCTCTGGCTTCTCTCCTTCAGCCAGTTCACAGTCCACCTCACTACCCGATCATCCAGACCACACTTCCTCAATTTAGCTGCGAGGATGCTGTGGGAGACCGTGTCAAACGCTTTGCTGAAGTCAATCAAAAGAATGTAACTCCCATTACTGAGATAAGAACAGTCCAGTAACTAAGGTATAATACAAAACTACTGCTGTGACCACCAGTGATAATAATAAGGGAAATAATAAGGGGAAATAATACAATTGCTCACCACCATGGATAGATACCCAGCCCGACCAGAGCAGCAATCTGGGCCTTCTGGGTAACTCCCCCCAGTTTATATAGTGACCATGATGTGCCGTGGTATGGAATACACCTTTAGTTAGTTTGGGTCAGGTGTCCTGTCTCTGCTTCCTCCCGCCTTCCCTCCTCCCTGGCAGATCACGAGACTCAGAAAGTCCTTGGTCAGAGTAAACATTACTTAACAACAACTGAAAACATCGGTGTTATCAGCGTTGTTCCCAGGATGAAAGTGAAAACCACAGCACTGCACCAGCTACTAAGGAGAAAAATGACTGCTACTTCTAAACCCAGGACAGTGGGGTTTTGACTTTGTTTTGTTTAAAGAAACTAACATTAGTAACCCAGAGACCCACTCAGATGATTTACCCAGCCATCTTTATGCCTACTAAATACTGCTCTTGAAGTGAAGTGGGAAGCAATGTTAATTCATCCACCTCATTATTCAGCCTCTCTCTTCCAAACTACAGAACATTGCAACAAATCAACATTAATGTATTGAATATTTGTCTGTTCTGTTTTGTAAGCAGTTTCACATTCTACACAGAGTAATATTAGTTGTATCTGTCTGATATGGCTGAGAAAAATGTCCCTCTCAATGCCTTTAGACTCCTTTACCCAATACAATTTTAATTATTATCAAATTGACATCTGCCTTTAACTTCCCCTTTTTCTTAGTGGCATATTTACATTTTCCCCTATTTTTCATTTTTGAATTAGTGAAAATATCTATTTTTAAAGATAGTTTATTAGACATTTTAAAATATATACTTAACCATTCTGAATTTTTTGCCTGCATGATGTATGCTTTCTGAACTTTGTTCTTTAGTCAGCTAATGATTTACATCAAACATTAAAATTTTAATGAAAAACAGTTGTGTCATACCTTAAATCTCCATCTAGTAACAACTACAAACTTGAGTGTGTGGTCCTTGCCAAGAATCTCTTCATTGCATAATATATCCAGCTGATGTAAAAAGAAGAAATAATTAATTCACTGAGACACAGAACATGGCTTTAAAACAATACTCTTCAGATAAGGACCAATAAAAAATCAAAGGATACTAGGGTGTATCAACAGAAGCACAGCAAGTAAACTGAAGGAAGTCAATGGAACAATGTCCAAGTGGAAAACAGTAATGAGTGGTGTCCCTCAAGGGTCGGTACTATTTAATAAGTTCATCAACAAAATAAACAATGGGATTGAGTGCACCCTCAGCAAGTTTGCAGATGATACCAAACTAAATGGTGCAGCTGATTGATGCTATCCAGAGGGACCTTAACAGGCTTGAGGACTGGGTCCCTGCAAATCTCATGAAGTTCAACAAGGCCAAGTGCAAGGTCCTGCACCTGGGTCAGTGCAATCCCCAATATCAATACAGATTGGAGGATGAGTGGATTGAAAGCAGCCCTGTAAGAAGGACTTGGGGATACTGGTGGATGAAAAATTGGATGTAAGCTGTCAATGTGTTCTTGCAGCCCAGAAAACCAATTGTTTCCTGGGCTGCATGAAAAGAAGCATGACTAGCAGCTCAAGAGAAGTCATTCTCCCCCCTCTGCTTTCATGAGAGCCCACCTGGAGTACTTTATCCAGCTCTGGAATCCCTGACATGGACTTGTTAGAGTGGGTCCAGAGGAGGTCCATGAAAATGATCAGAGGGCTGGAACACCTGTCCAGCCTGGAGAAGATAAGGCTCTGGGGAGACCTTATTGCAGCCTTTTAATATATAAAGGGGGTTATAAGAAAGACTGAGAAAGATTTTATTTTTCAGGACCTGTAGTGGCAGGAGAAGGGGCAACAGTTTTAAATTGAAAGAGGGTAGACTGGATATAAGGAAGAAAATCTTTACGATGAGGGTGGTGAGACACTGGAACAGGTTTCCCAGATGTGGATGCCCCATCCCTGGAAGTGTTCAAAGTTAGGTTAGATGGGGCTTTGAGGAAGCTGAAAGATGTCCTTGCCCATGGCAGAGGGGTTAGACTAGATGATCTTTGAAGGTCCCTTCCAACCCATACCATTCTATGATTCTATGATTGTATACACAGGCAGAGTGCACCTTCAGCAAATTTCCAGATGGCACAAAACCAAAAGGAGTTGATACTCTTGATGTTTTTGCTGTCCTTAGAAGGACTTTGACAGACTGCAGAAATGGGCTGTCAAGAACCTCACGAAGCAAAGGAGAATGCCACGTCCTGCACCTGGGGAGGCATAATACCAAGCACCAGTATAGGCTGGGGGATGACTGACTGGAAAGCAGCTTTGCAGAAAAAGGACCTGGAAGTCCTGTTGGATATCAAGTTGACCATGAACCAGCAATGCACCTTTGCAGCAAAGACAAACAGTATCCTGAGCTGAATTAGGAAAGCATTGCCAGCAGGTTGAGGATGTTTGTTATTGCCCTCTGCTCAGCACTGATGAGACACATCTGGAGTTCTCTGTCCCCAGCACAAGAAGGACATGGACATACTGGCAAGTCTAGCAAAGGGCTCATTAAGGTATTGAAGTGTCTGGCATTTGAGAAGAGGCTGACAGAGCTGTGATTGTTTAACCTGGAGAATAGAAGGCACAAGGGGGATCTTATCAATGTGTACAAATACCTGATGGGGTCAGTAAAAAAGATGGAGCCGGACTTTTCAGTGGTATCAAATGAAGGGATCAATCTGCACAAATTGAAATACAAGAAATTCCATTTAAATTTAAAAATTATTTTTCACTGTAAGGGTGACTGAGCACTGGATCAGGTTGCCTAGAGAGGTTGTGGAGTCTCCATTTGTGAATATATTCAAAACTCGCCTGGACATGGTCCTGAGCAACTTCATCTAGTTGACCCTGTTTTGATCAGGGGAGTTGGACTAGATGACTTCTAGAGTTCTTTTCCAACCTCAACTATTCCTTATTGCATGGATTTGCCAAGACTGGGGACACAGAAATCTCCTGAAAGTTCTACCTCCAGAGGCTATTTAGTCTAGTTCCCCTTCCTTCCTACTCACAGCAAGACCAAATGTAATCATATTCATAAAAAGGGAGGTGGCATGATTTATATGTTATTTTACCTTGTGTTTATTAGATCTACTTATATACTATACTAACATTCTTGTTTTATGCTTTGATTTTTGCAAGTCAACAGACTTAACAACTCCATCAACAACTGAGGGCTAACAAAGTTATAAAGCAACAAGGCAAAATCTGAGGCAAGACCAAGGAGTAAGATATGTGGCCTGCCAGAAGAACCTAATTCAGTAGTGGTTAGTAGACTTGAGCTATAGTGGGTGGTACACATCAGTGCCTATCAGACTCAGAGAGGTTTCCTGAAATTGCAGGAATTCTTAACTTGGCACTACACCCTATAGTAATAGTTTGCTTGTTTTTATGAATTGTGTTAATCACAGACATTTAGCAAATCAGGTACTGACTATACACTGCCATGAAGAACTGTCAGACCTTTACAGATTATCATGAGGCAAGACCTCATGAATACCTCCAAGAAGTCTCTACTCAGTCCTGATTAAGAGCTTTGAGCCAGAGGAAGGTGTGCAGCATCCTTGTTGGACATATTGAGCAAGTGCCTGGGATTCATGGACTACCAAAGGGGAATGATAAAAGTGACCTTGTAACCCAGGAAACATGGCATTGCTGTTGGTAACAAGGCCACAAGTTCAATATAAGCCTCACTTTTCATATTTTGCTTGTTCAGAGATTTATTTTTGTCTGTTTAACTGGAGTAGCCAGTAATTCTTCAATAAAGTTTTGCATGGCTAGATAGCTAATCTGTGACCTAATCCATCTTTGTTTTGCTTAGATTGGTTTAACTATTTAATGTAATAACAGTTCAAGACAGTTCAAGACTCCCTTTAGAGCTCTTAACAGATTTAAGCATTACAACTCAGGCTTTGGGCCCACCCAGGCATCACAGTTAAATATTTGGAAAAATGCTCAGAAGTTATAACCACCTTACAACCTTGGTAGTTTTATTTGTTTACAGCATAATGCTCAAAGAAACAATTTGAATAGAGCAGACAGACCTAGTGACAGAATTGTTGATTTCAGTAACATTCTTTTAAGCAAATGTGTAAATGTAAAAGGAACTTAAAATATAAAAGGAATTTAGGAGAGGTATCAAAGAAGAAAGGAAAAAGAAAGAAAGGATTGAAACAGAATACTAACTACTTAAAGGTTGAGAGAATTGTGGGCTACACATTTGTATATATCAAGGTCCGAAAGAGGATAATATATAATGAATAGTGAAATATTATGGTTGAACCAGAATAGAAGTAACACTGAAGTGAGATACTTATCTATGCCAGGTATTAGAGGTTACTTATATCGAATAATCAGAACCTAATCACTAAACCCAGCATTTCTGTAAGAGCAAAAAAAGGAGAAAGAGAATACATGAATGTGCTGACTGATTATGTGAACAACTCTGTGTAGCTTCTCCTCTGCTATTTCTCCTTCCCCCTTCCCCCAACTACTTAGTTGCCTGTGTTCTGAGGATCCAAAGCCCAGCTCTGATGCTACACAGCTGCATAACCTTGGGACACATATCTGAGAAAAATCACTAAGTTATGAGAGAACCTGCAAGAAGATAAGAAGGGCAAAAGTAGAATGAGGCTACCTGAGAACTTTGGGTCAGATCAAGCCACTAATATCAACAGTGAAAGCTAGATGAAACTGGTTTGACTGATTGTTACAATCATGTGTTAACTTCTTCAGTGGTAACAAGGAATATCACTATTCATGTACTGGGACTACATTATGTGACAATTATATTTGGATACTTAACAAAATATTGTAAAATGCATGTGTTTAATAGAATTGGGAAAGATATACTATAAATGTATTCTTACTCATGATAAAAGAGAACATACTGATTAACTAAACAATTATATGAGGAATGAGAAACATTTCATTATTGTCACATTATGAGGAGATATTAGGTTGCTAGTTTTAAAGGGATAAGGATTAAGGAAGGTATATCATATCTGAAATGCTGCATCCAGTAAAGAAAAATTTTGATCAACTTGAGCAAGTTCAGCGGAAGGCCACTGAGATGGTCAGGGTGCTTGAACACAGGCTCTATAAGGAGAGGTTGAGGGAACTGGGAGAAGGCTTAAAGGGGACCTAGTTACAGCCTTCCGATACTTAAGAGAAGCCTATAGAGAAGATAGCGCCAAGCTCTTTACTGAGGTGCCTGGTGGGAGAATGAGAGACTGATCATCAATGTAAACAGAAGAAGTTCTGACTGGATATAAGGAAGGAAAAAAAAAAATCTCAACAAGGATAATTAAGCATCAGAACAAGTTGCCAAAAGAGGTCATGAAATCACCATGCTTAGAAGTTTTCAAGATTGAGAGATGGCAGTTTGAGAGTTAGACTGGATGGAGGGGGACTGTGACTAATACCAACAGAGGGAACAGAATCACAGAATCACAGAATCCCAAGGGTTGGAAGGGACCTCAAGAGATCATCTAGTTTTCTTTCTTCCCTTACCCCCACTATGGTTTCTTCGCACAAATGGTCTAATTATATACTCCCTGCAGGGTAGGTGGCATCAGTTAATACTGCATAAGGCTGAGTTTCACTTAGAGTAGAGAAGCAGAAGAAATATATGTGTAGCTTTCCATTAGATCAGTCTTTCAGTAGTGCCCAAGTGTTATAATCCATTCTCTGCATTGCACTGAGTGAAAAAATCTCTGCTAGGGCAGTGTATCCTTTCATTTAAGGACACCAAACAAAGCATCTTGCAGGAGTCAGTTTTAACACAGGTGGAAAACACATAAGCAAGCCTTTTGGCATGTTTTAAAACTGGTCATGAAACAACACACTGAGCTGCATTGCCAAATCTGTATAAAGCTAAGAACCAATAAGAGCTACATATCTATTGTACTGGAGGGGGAGAAAAAAAGGGAAGATGACCAGCATCCTTAAATTAAAAAGGGGGGGGTGGGGGGTGGGGGGGTAAATTTGGAGAAAAACCTATTTATTAGCATTGAGCTGCTCAACTTAAATAGCCATGTTCTCTTTCTTTACATTAGGAAATAGTGTGTGCTTCATTAAAAAAAAAATCTGGTTGGAAGGAATGACAATTTTGAAAATGATCCATAAGATTTTCATTTGCAAAATAATTTTTTAATATTAAAACATTACCTCATTAAAAGAAGAAAGGTTAAGTTTTTTAGCAATGAACTTCTTTAGATGCAAGACTGTTGCTTGTGCTGAGCAGCGGATCCATTTTCTTTTCAATCCACATAATTTGCTGCTATTGCATTCCAAACAGATGCTTACCTTCAGGAAAAAGGAAACACAGGACTAGTTGACTGATTTTTTTGCAGTCTCCATTATGCATTTCACGTGAACATTTATTAGCCCAACAATAAGGAGAAAACGTAGAATATCAGTATTTAAAGCAAAATGCATCCAGTGTCATTAAAAGAAAGATTGTCTATTATTTTGTCAGCTTACTGTTCAGCACCATTCAACTTGTGAGAAAAAACATGTTGTTTTCACATAATTGGGGATGGGGCTTTGCAATATTAAGGCCTTATAATATTAGAGCTTTAAGATGAATATTAAGGCTTTGCAATATTAAGATTTTCCAATCCTGGGGCTGGGGCTAAGTTACCAAGGGAATGAAACAAAGGGTTTGAGATACCATAAGTTAGAAAGACACACTCTATGGTTAAAGGCAATACCATCTTTGGATAAAAGATACACTCTGTGGTTAAAAAGAATACTATCTTTGAACATAGGCTGAGAAAGTTGGGGCTGTTCAGCCTGGAGAAGAGAAGGCTGTGTGAAGACCTCATAGCAGCCTTCCAGTATCTGAAGGGGGCCTATAGGGATGCCGGGGAAGGACTCTTCATTAGGAACTGTAGTGATAGGACAAGGGGTAATGGGTTAAAACTTAAACAGGGGAAGTTTAGATTGGATATAAGGAAGAAATTCTTTCCTGTTACGGTGGTGAGGCACTGGAATGGGTTGTCCAGGGAGGTTGTGAATGCTCCATCCCTGGCAGTGTTCAAGTCCTGGTTGGACAAGGCCTTGGGTGATATGGTTTAGTGTGAGGTGTCTCTGCCCATGGCAGGGGGGTTGGAACTTGATGATCTTAAGATCCTTTCCAACACTATTCTATTCTATGATTCTAACCTATGAACCTAAGCTGCTCCAGGCTGGTTAAACAGTAAATTTGGGTACAACATGTCTGCCAGAGAGATAAGTAAATAAGAGGAAGGGGCATGCAAAATTGAGTAAGGGAATATGTAAACAGAGGCAGAACAGTTAGCACGTAGTTTATATGTGCCGGACAGGCTGTAAACCTTGGAGCACCCAACTAATGGGGAAAAAAGGGAGGGAACTTGCAGACAGGATAGGAAATATAAATCAAAGTTCTGCCTTTGCTGTGTGTGCCTACTTGCAAGGACACCCATTTTTGCAAAAACATTAATAAACAGCTGTTTCGTGATTGTGTCTACTCTGAGCTTTTAGAATAAGTTTTTATGTAGAGACTATTTCTCACAAGCTCAGAAGAAATATGGACAAAAGTTCAAGGTAGAATATGAGGGCCGCCTTTTTACAGAGCTTTATTCTAACTGCAGAGGTTACACTCGTTCAGAAGCAGCCTAAGTCAAGGCCAAAGCAAGTTATCTAATATGAAAACCTGTCAGGACCCTGAGATCATTCCCCTCCCCACTGGGGGTTTGGTTGCCTGAGCTCAGGGCCAATTTTGACAAGAAGCTGTATGACAATGAAACTGTTGTGAAGAAAGAGCTGGTTGAGAAAAACCTTGAAGAAATTTCAGTGTGAGCTCACTTTCCTCCACTTAAAAGCACTGTTAAGGCTGAAGCTCCCTCCCTTGGTGGGTGCCTCTGTTCTCACGAGAGAATGAATAATTGGTACATAAACTCTGAATAATCCTGAAAGATACAGCAAGGCCGTGAGAGGCCTGAGGAAGCTTAAGCAAGCAAGATAAGAAGAAGCTGTAACTCACTGAGTTAATGAGAACTGTGGACTGTTGGCAAGCTTTCCAGGTCAAGTTCACACACCTGTGCTCAACCAATTATATGCTAGTCACTAAGGGTCTTCAAGACATGTATCCAATCATAATATGCCAAATCACTGTAAGTGCCTGTAAGAAATGGTATATAAGGAGATAAAGCTTTGTAATAAATTGGCATTCGCTGATCACATTGATCGTTTCTGTGTTGTCCGTGACTCCTGCGTCGACAAATGGCGCCCAAACAGGGACCCTCAGATCGGTAACTAGCGGCATGCAAGTTTGAAGGTCTGATCAAAAAAGAGGGGGCGGAGAGAGGGCCGAAAGTCAGCGCTGCCCTGGAGCTGTGAAGTCAGATGTCTGCAAACAGTGGGATCTCGCCCTGATCAGGTGTCCTGGGTTTAGCAGTGGCAGTCATTTTTTCTCTTTCTTGGTAGCTGGTGCAGGGCTGTGTTTTGGCTTTCAGCTGGGAACAGAGCTGAAAAACAATGATGTTTTGGTTTGGCCAAGGACTTTGTGAGCCTCATGCTCTGCCAGGGAGGAGGGGAGCCGGGAGGAAGCAGAGACAGGACACCTGACCCAAACTGACCAAAGAGGTATTCCATACCACAGCACGTCATGCCCAGGAGGTAACTGGGAGTTAGCCAGAAGGACTAGGTGGACTGCAGGGTTGGAGGAGGTATGGGTTGGTGCTTGATCGGGCTGGAGGGGGGCAAGTTATCGGTCACCTGGTGATGGGGTGTTGTATTCTCTTCCCTTGTTATTTCCTTTATCATTACTATTATTGGTGGTAGCAGTAGTGATTTGTGTTATACCTTAGTTACTAAACTGTTCTTATCTCAACCCGTGGGAGTTGCATTTCTTTTTGATTCTCCTCTCCGTTCCCCCAGGAGTAGGGGGAGGGCAAGAAGGGGGGGAGTGGGTAACAAGCTGTCTGGCTGTGGGTTAAACCACGACAGTTCTTTTTGGCGCCCAACGTGGGGCACGAGGGGTTGAGATAACGACAGATCTGACCGTCACAATGATGATTTATTGGATCTCAGAGCTTCAGAATGTTGTAACTTACTTAGAGCCGGTATTTGCTGTGTTAGTGTTTATCAAGTGTGGGGCTTGGGCTAAGGTTCTTGTCTCACTGTACTTTATGGCAATGACTTGTAATACGGGCGGGCTCCAGCAGCAGGGCGGGACGGACGTGGCCGTGGACTGGTCCCTGCCCGTGCGGCTGCTCCTCACCGTCCTGGCCCTCGCCCTCGCCTCCGTCTGCGTGAGGCTCTGGGAAGCCGAGGGGGGGCGGCCCCGGGAGCCGGCGGCTGCTGAAGCGGCCCGGGAGAGCGGCCCCGGGGACCAAGCGGGAGCGGGGCTGGAGGCCGGCAGGGAGCGGCTGCCGGTGGAGGAGGTCGGGGCGGTCGAGGAGCGGGAGGAGGCGGCTGCCGAGCAGCGGAAGAAGGCGGCGGAGGAGCCGAGCTCCGCAGAGGAGCCCAGCCCCGCAGCCGAGCCCAGCCCCGCGACGGCCGAGAGCATTCCCCGGAAGCCGCCCGCCGAGCCCCAGGAGGACGCAGGAGACCCCGCAGCATTTCCCAGCAAGGCAGAGGAGGAAGAGCTGGACTCAGGAAAAGAGAAGCTGGTGGTGGGAGAGCCGGCAAGCACAGCAGCTACACCAGCCCCAGTGACAAGTACAGCAGCATCGTTTGAGAGTTCTGCAGGTTTTGAATGGCCTTTGGGTACCCTTGGGACCTGCCTGCTGATTGTGATGGTGTTCACTATGTTGGCACACATGCAGAGTGTGTTTTACCCACCACCATTGTGTCTGATCCCAAAATTTAAGCAGAGTCGGGTTTGGGTCTTGTCTGGGGTTAGACAACAATATGGGAGGACCAAGAGGTTTTCCCCAAGGCTGGACAGCCATGAGTGGCAGGGCATGTGGGACAGTATGGGCAAGTATCTAGTCCACTGGGCCACTCCAGTGCTTTGGAAGCATCGGAGATGGAAGGAGAATGAATTATTTTGAATCTGGTGGGCCCATGACCCTTAAGGCCAACAGAGCAGAGATGCAACATAGAGATGGACTCATGATCAAGGGGTGGACCTAACAATGGACACTACTGCCCAGGTTATTCATGTGTGTGAACACTGCACACAGCCTCTCCTGCTCTGAAAGACTGTTACAAGAGATGGAGCCTGGCATCATGGACCAGATGGACTCAGCAGCTTTATAGGGACTGGTCCATGCACTATGATGAGAGTGCACTTAGATAAGAGTGAGGGTATATTGAAAATGTGGGATCTGAGCATGACGTGAATGGTATGGAATAAGGGGTGGATAATGTCCTGGGTTTAGCAGTGGCAGTCATTTTTCTCTTTCTTGGTAGCTGGTGCAGGGCTGTGTTTTGACTTTCAGCTGGGAACAGAGCTGAAAAGCAATGATGTTTTGGTTTGGCCAAGGACTCTGTGAGCCTCATGCTCTGCCAGGGAGGAGGGGAGCCGGGAGGAAGCAGAGACAGGACACCTGACCCAAACTGACCAAAGAGGTATTCCATACCACAGCACGTCATGCCCAGGATGTAACTGGGAGTTACCCGGAAGGGCGAGTTGGACTGCAGGGTTGGAGGAGGTATGGGTTGGTGCTTGATCGGGCTGGGGGGGGGCAAGTTATCGGTCACCTGGTGATGGGGTGTTGTATTCTCTTCCCTTGTTATTTCCTTTATCATTACTATTATTGGTGGTAGCAGCAGTGATTTGTGTTATACCTTAGTTACTAAACTGTTCTTATCTCAACCCGTGGGAGTTGCATTTCTTTTTGATTCTCCTCTCCGTTCCCCCAGGAGTAGGGGGAGGGCAAGAAGGTGGGGAGTGGGTAACAAGCTGTCTGGCTGTGGGTTAAACCACGACATCAGGTGAGCAGCCGGGGAGGAGAAGGGGCACTCGCCTTCCAAAGAGGAACCAGCAGTGATGGAGCTCCTCCAACATATTCTCTCTGAGAGAGGACTGCAACATGATAGTGCCACCTTACAGAGGCTGTTAAAGTGGTCCCATGATCATGGCTTTATCCCCACAGCGCAATCTACCTTTGAGGTTTCTGAATGGGAACGTATAGGCCAAGCATTGTCGGATGAGATCAGTAAAGGGACAAAGGAAGTGCAGGAGCGTTCTGTGCTATGGAGACTGGTAACTGAGACTTTAAAGGAAATAAAATCGGAACAGGCAGAAGTGGCATCTGTTTTCCTGGCCGCTGCTCCTTCAAAAAGTCAGTCAGAGGTAGAGAAGAGTGCTACGTCTATGGTATTTGCCCCAC